CTCTCACCTAACACAAAAATCAACTCAGGATGGAAGAAGGACTTGAATTTAAGACCTGAAACTATAAAAATTCTAGACGATAACATTGGATAAACCCTCCTAGATATTGGCTTGGGCAAGGATTTCATGACCAAGAACCCAAAAGCAAATGCAATAAAAACAAAGATAAATAACTGGGACTTAATTAGAGCTTTTGTGTGGCAAAAGACTCTTCTTGCAGTGGAATAATCCCAAATACTCAAAAAGCCTCAAAAAAGCACTTACCATGAGACATTTTTTCCTCATATTAATATCGCTAAATATGTCTCAATGTAACATCCAGTTCTTATTTCTACTACTATCGTTTGAAATAAATCAAATATCTTCCTTCAAATAAATACTGACAGACATATGTCTAAACATCATTCATTCATAAATTAATTCATTAAGCAAATAAATATTCAACCTCCACCCTGTAACAAGAACCATTTTTGAATAAAACAAAAATGATCTTTGTGCCATCAGAGCTTGCTCTTTAATAAAGCATTTATCTATTTATGACAGGTAATTTTTTTTTGAACATGGTTTTTAGAATGTTAGCATACTTTCCGTACTTAGTTTTGATTAATTTTAGCTTTTCAATGTTCCTCTCAGAATAAATAAAATTAAGTCTAATCAAATCTCTAACTTTATTACATTATGCTGTATTATTTATATATATTTATATAAATATATATAATATAGACATAATATATATACAGATATATATATAATAGAGACATACTCTAATATATTATTTTACATTGTATGGTATACATCCCCACTAAAACATACATACATTCAACACAGAATATCAAATCAGCCCATTTCTTATCTGGATGCTGCTTTGATTCATCCAGAACAATACTCCTAGAAAAACACATTTGGGTCTTTGATGACCACTAGACATGAACTCAAAATAAATCATTTTGTCTCTCTGAGTTTACATTTACATCTACAGAATAATTCCTTTATTACTTATGGGGTTGGGAGGACCTGATTAAAATTAAGTATGTAAATCAATAGATAGATAGTGCTATGGTATGGTTCTATATCACCACCCAAATCTCATGTTGAATTGTAATTCCCAATGTTGAGGGAGGGATCTGGTGGGTACTGATTGGATCATGAGGGTGAATATCCCCCTTGCTGTTCTCATAATAGTGAGTGAGTACTCATGAGATCTGGTTGTTTGAAAGTGTGTAACACTTCCCCCTTCACTCTCTCTCTCCCACTCTGCCATGTGAAGATGTCCTTGATTCCCCTTTGTCCTTCTGCCCTGATTGTTAAGTTTCCTGAGGCTTCCCAGCCATGCCTCCTGTACAGTCTGTGGAACTGTAAGTCAGTTTAACCTCTTTTCTTTATAAATTTACCCAGTCTCAGGTAGTTCTTTATAGCAATGTGAGAACAGAATAAGATAGATAGATAGATAGATAGATAGATAGATAGATAGATAGATAGATAGATGATAGATAATACATATAGTGTAAGCTGTAATTTACTACACAAGTATACCAGTAATATGGTTATTGTTGCTAGTATTATTCTTACTTCTTTAGGAGTTCCATATATCCCTGACATTATTTTATTTTATATATTGCAGTTGTTATTTCCAATTTTTAAAACAAGGGTTTAATTAAAAAATATTTATTGAGTGTCATATACTAACAAATTTAATTATTATATGTGTGGCCTCCTATGCTTCACTTAACACTCATACCAATTCAGTTAAATAATGACTATTATTTATATGAATACATCTATATTTATATACAATGCTTTATTCTCTTATAAGATTATACAGGATAAGAGTGCATTAGCTATTTTAGAAAACACATCACATTGTTGGCCAAAATGTAACACTATAGCTTTTACTGCTTCTTGTTTTGCTTTATTAATTAATATTAAACACCTACTAGAATGTCAGATGTTGCCCTAACCTGTATTTCTGCAGTTGACTTTTTGAACTCAAGTTCAGTATTTACTTATATTTCTGTTATACTTACATTTGATTATTTATAGCCATCATTCATCTTCTTGAAATCTTAATTTTGTCCTCAAATATTTCCATTATCTCTGGTTGTTTGAAAGTGTGTAGCACTTTCCCCTTCGCTCTCTCTCTCTCTCTCCCACTCTGCCATGTGAAGACGTACTTGCTTTCTCTTTGCCCTTCCGCCATAATTGTAAGTTTCCTGAGGCCTCCTGGCAATGCTTCGTGTAAAGCCTGCAGAACCGTGAATCAATTAAACCACTTTTCTTCATGAATCACCCAGTCTCAGGTAGTCCTTTATAACAGTGTGAAGATGAACTAATACAGAAAAGTTGTACCAGATAAGTGAGGCATTGCTATAAAGATACCTGAAAATGTGGAAGCAACTTTGGAGCAGAGTAACAGGCAGAGGTTTGAACAGTTTGGAGGGCTCAGAAGACAAGGAGATGAGGGAAAGTTTGAAACTTCCTAGGGACTTGTTAAATTGCTGCAACCAAAATGCTGATAGCGATATAGACAATGAAGTCCAGGCTGAGGTGGTCTCAGATGAAGCTGAGGAATTTATTAAGAACTGAAGTAAAGATTACTCCTGCTATGCTTTAGCAAAGAGACTGGTGACAGTGTGTCCCTGCTCTAGAGTTCTGTGGAACTTTGAACTTGAGAGAGACAATTTAGGGTGTCAATAGGAAGAAATTTCTAAGCAGCAAAGCATTCAAGATATGGCCTGGCTACTTCTAAAAGTCTATGTTCATTTGCATAAACAAAGAAATGACCTGAAACTAAAACTTATATTTAAAAGGGAAGTAAAGCATACAAGTTTGGAAAATTTGCAGCCTGATCATTCAGTAGAAAAGAAAAAAAAACATTTTCTGGAGAGAAATTCAAGGCTGCAGAAACTTGCATAAGTAGAGCCAAATATTAATAGCCAAGACAATGAGGAAAATGCCTCCAGGTCATTTCAGATACCTTGTGGTAGCCCCTTCCATCACAGGCCTGGAGGCCTAGGAGGGAAAAATGGTTACATGTGCCAGGGCCAGAGCCCTGCTGCTCTGTGCAATCTTGGGACATGGCACCCTATATCCCAGCCATTCCAGTTTCAGCCATGGCTAAATGGGGCCAAGGTACATCTCAGGATTGCTTCAGAGGGAGCAAGTCCCAAGCTTTTGTGACTTCCATGTGGTGTTGGGCCTGCAGGTATGCTGAAAGCAAGAGTTGAGGTTTTGGAGCTTCCACCTAGATTTCAAAGGATATGTAGAAATGCCTGTATGTCCAGGAGTAAGTATGATGCAGGGGTGGAGGCACCATGAGGAACCTCTACTAGTGCAGTGCAGAGGGGAAATGTTGGTGTTGGGGCCCCACACAAGTCCCCACTGGGACACTGCCTAGTGGAGCTGTGAGACGAGGGCCATTGTCTCTAGACCCCAGAGATGGTGGATCGACTGACAGCTTGCATCATCTGCCTGAAGAAGCCACAGGCACTCAAAGCCAGCTCATGAAAGCAGCCATGGGAGCTGTACACTGCAGAGCCACAAGGGTGGAGCTGCCCAAGGCCTTCTGAGGCCACCCCTTGTATCAGTGTGGCCTGGATGTAATACATGAAGTCAAAAGAGATTTAAGACTTAATGAGTTCCCTGCTGGGTTTTGGATTTCCATAGAGCCTGAGCCCCTTGATTTTGGCCAACTTCTCCCATTTGGAACAGGGAGCATTTACCCAATGCCTGTACCCCCATTGTATCTTGGAAGTAACTAACTTTTCATTTTACAGGCTCATAGGCAGAAGGGACTAGCTTTGTCTCAGATGAGACTTTGGACTTGGACTTTTGAGTTAATGCTGGAATCAGGTAAGATTTTGGGGAACTGTTGAGAAGGCAAAACTGTCTTTTGAAATGCGAGAAAGATACGAAATTTGGGAGGGGCCAGTGATACAGTTTGGCTGTGTGTCCCCACCCAAATCTCATGTCAAATTGTAATTCTCAGTGTTTGGGGGGCAACTGGTGGGAGGTGATTGGATCATGGGGGTGAATTTCCCCCTTGCTGTTCTCGTAACAGTGAGTTCTCACAAGATCTGGTTGTTTGAAAGTGTGTAGCACTTCTTTCTCTCTCTCACTCCTGCCACAATGTGAAGATCTGCTTGCTTCCCCTTCACCCTTCTGCCATGATTTTAAGTTTCCTGAGATCTCTGAGTCACGCTTCCTGTACAGCCTGCAGAACTGTGAGTCGATTAAACTTCTTTTCTTCATAAATTACCCAGTCTCAGTTCTTTATAGCAGTGTGAGAATGGACTGATACACACGTGAAACTGACTTTTTTTTACAAGACGCCACTCAGTAAGATTTTAGAGGAAGGGTTGATACAGAAAACCAGTTTAGACAAGGAATGAAGAAATTTTTAAGAGCACAGACAAAGAACTTATGATGAACTTTCTATGGTCAGAGGCCTAGGATAGGCTTTTACCTTCAAGTTCAGTGAACTACTTCATCTTTAGTCTCCTATAGAACTCAGTACCCTTGTTATTATGGATCTTGCTGTATTTGAACCATTTGTATCTGCATGTCTGTACAGAATACATACACACATTAGCATTCAGATACTTAAGGGAGAATATTTTTTTATGTAAAAACAAGAGCCATCCAAGAGAAAGAACCTTCAAAACAAAGTGATGTGGTAGAAATGCTTTTGGCTTTTGTTTAGGTAGAATGGGAGGTAAAACTGCATAATCAATAAAATTTAGAATGACCCAAAGTTCATAGGTGATTCACTTTGGGTTACAGCAGGAAGGGCAATGAAGAGAATCAAAAGCTTTAAAATGAGTAAAGCTAATGAATATGAAAATGTATACCTCTATAATATGTGTATATTTTGCACCCTAATCTGCCATAATTCCAGTAAAATTACCTGTGAACACTAGTTCTCTATCAGGATGAAAAATACTGAACTAAATATTATTCATGAAGGAACATTGCAGAAGAAGAGAAAGAAGAAAATCCCTCACCTTTGGGCCTTGGGATTGGTGCAGAGCCTTTCTGTTTGCTTTGTTTCACAACTTCTTTACTCCAGATTCCATTTTCCAGATTCCATTTTTGATTGAGTGGTTATTCACTTAGGCAGCTGTGAGGAAAGGGTGGGAATTTTTCTACTCCCTCCTATGAGAAAATGAGAAGGTAACTTCAGCTTTAATAGTACCAAAGAAGTCGAGTATCACTTTCCCCTACACGGTGCTGGTGGGTAGTCACCACAAATGAACCAGATATTGAACTCAGAGGATAGGCCTTGAAATTTTAGGATGATTTGAGTGTGGGGTATTGCTATGGTTTGAATACATTCCCTCTAAAATTTATATGCTGCCAATGTAAATATTAAGAAATGTGGCCTTCAAGATGTGATTACTTACAGCATGAGGGCTCCTCTGTCATGAATGCAATTAAATGCAATTAAAAAGCTTTTAAAAAAGGTTCCATGCAATGTTAGGCCTTTTTGCCCTTTGACCTTCTGCCATGTGAGGACATAGCCTTCCTTCCCTCTGAAGGACTCAGTGTTCAAGGCACTGTCTTGGAACAGAGAGCAGCCTTCACCAGATAACAAAATTGTTGGCACCCTTATCTTGGGCTCCTAACCTCCAGAACTATGAGAAATAAATTTCTGTTTTTAATTGAATGTTCTCACTCATATGTGGGAGGTAAGCTATGAGAATGTAAAGAGATAAGAATGATATATTGGACTTTGGGGACTCTGAGGAAAGGGTGGGGGCAACAAGGGATAAAAGACTGCATTGTGTGTACAGTGTACACTGCTTGGGTGATGGGTGCACCAAAAGCTCAGAAATCACCACTAAAGAACTTATCTGTGTAACCAAATACCACCTATTCCCCAAAAACCAATTGAAATAAAAATAAATTTCTGTTTTTGAACTACCCAGTCTCAGATATTCTATTACAGCAGCACAAGTGAACTGAGATGGGTAAACAGATAAGTATCAGAGTAAGGAGGACGATTACTGAACTCTTATGACCTTGTTAAATATGATAAAATATCCACTATTTGTCAGAATTTATTAGAAAATGATATACTTTAATATATATAAATATATGTATACCCTACAATTTTCTGTAGTTTAATAATAAGAATGCTTGAAATCCTATGTGTTGACTTAGACATTTTTGAGGCTGTTAGAATACTAATTAATAGAAAGGTATAGTATAACTTTATATCTGTTTAAACTCTTAATGTTTGAAAGAGTTAAAAACATAGTCCATTATCAAAAGATCTAAAATTTTAAGATCAAATACACAAATAGAGTCCAGAGAATAATGCCAAACTGTTCTTCAGTTTTCCTCTTCAGTAAATGATACACAATCTGTCACTATGGAAGGACATTGGGAGATTTCTTCTTTCTTGCTCCTTGTTTTTTTCCCTTCTTCTTACTACCCTGCCCTCCTCATTTGAGTCCTTCTCTCTCTTCTCAGCCCCAATGCAGATTTTCTGTGATTCTGCTCCTTTCTGTTTTCCACTTCTTACAGATAAAATGAGGCACTAGTCTTCATGTCCAGCCTGCTGAAGGGAGGGATAAAGGAAACCACTTTTCAAACACATCCTCCTGATGACACGTTTTTGAGACAAACCTTTCTACTGTTACATTGAACCACTTCTTATACTCTTGTTGCATATGCTGTTTTACTGATAAAGAACAATTTTCTTTTCTCCTGATTCCTAAGGTTGCCAAGTTGGCTTTTAGCATCACTCTGGAGCTTTATTCTGATTACAGTGTTTCTGTTCATTTCCTCATTCTTTTCAAACATCAATTTTTATTATTTCAGGAATCAAGAAAGAAAGTTGAGAGAAAGCAGAGTGGAACTCATTTCTCCACAAATATAACACTTGCCCCAAACTAATGACCATGATTTCTTTGTCTATATGATACATGAATGCTTGATGCCATTCTTCATCACATTCTTCAGTGCAATGCCAAGAAAATACTTTAGAGACAGAAACAAAAGGACAGCATAAGTTACAGTTATACCTCAAAATGGACAGTTAACTGATAAATTTTGTCAACAAATCCAAGGCCAAGTCTGCCCAAAATAGCTCATTTCCTCTCTTCAGGAAATCAATGATAATTTCCCAGTGATAATTAGGTGAGATAAATAGAGGTATTTTTTTTCTCTGTCACAGTAGTCCATGGCCATTTGATGCCCTCATTTGATGGTCTGCTCAATCTTAAACCATATCTAACTCTTAAGAATAATAAGATCCCATTGTAGGGAAAGAAAGTCCACCAGCCTAAACACTTTTAGGTTGATGAATGAATGAATTTTCAGTCATTTTTTAATAAAAGCATTTTCATATATGTTTTTATCTTCTTGCCCTCAGAATATTTATTCAAGAAAGAGTGTGTACATTTTTTATTGCAGTATAACAATTTACCACAAACTTAGCAACTTAAAACAGTCATTTATTTTCCCACAGTTTCTGTAGGTCAGAAGTCTGAACTTTGCTTAGCAGGCTGCTCTGTTCAGGATCTGACAAGGCAGTACTCAAGGTGTGAGCCAGAGCTGCGTCCCATCTGAGGCTCCAGATTCTCCTGCAGGCTGATGTGGTTACTGGAATATTCTTTCTTGATAGCTGTATAACTCAGTGTGGCTTGCTTCCTCAAAGCCAATAGCAGAGACCATTTCTTATTCCTAGACCCTTTTCCAAAGATTTCACCTGATTAGGTCAGGCTCACCCAGGAAAATCTCACTTCTGATTGACTCAAAGGCAGCTGACTAGAGGAATCAAAATCACATCTGAAGAAAAGTCAATTTTTGCCCACATAATGCCATTTACTCACAAGACAGACATCCTCATATTCACAGGTTTAATCCACCCTGAAAGAGAAGGGATTAAACAAAGCTTGTTCTTTAGGGGCAGGAATCTTATGGGACATCCTAGAATTCTGCCTACCATATGGAGAAAAGTTAAATCATTTTAATAGTTCAGCAGCAGAATTTTAGAGCAATCATTTGGCATTCAAGTGTGTCATATTTCCTAACTGTGAAACTGTTAAGAATGAATTTTAATTTTACATAGATTTATTTCATTCTTCAATTTTAGCATAAGCTCTCTCTTTTCCCTCTCTCCTCCATCACTCTCACCCCTCTTACCCAAATCCTTAGTATCACTTATTTTTTCTTGCTGTGATCTTGAGCTGCTGAGACAATCTCCTGAGAGGGCAGGAACACTGGTGTTTTCAGGATCTGGCACCATGCCTCTGCCCTCATTCGTGCATGCAGTTGTGCATATTAAAGAAATAAATCTTTCTAGTGACTACTCTGTGTCAGAATTACCTTCACTTAAATGAAATTATAACATTAACTTGGGATTCCTGAAGGAAAAAAAAAAAAAAAAAAGCCTCACTCCACTTAGATTTGTTCTCCCCTGCAGCCTGTAAACATGATTTGGTATGTTTCCTTTTCTTCTTCTTTTAAGAGATGTCCTTTTCAGAACTGAATAAAATAAAATTGTGAATGCTGACATTTGAGGGTATATCGCCCAAGTCTTTTCCATTCCAGTTTATTTTACACATCACCTTTAAATTATGGCTTCCAAATTATAACACAGATTGCCTCTGACCAAAAGCATCCAATAATTCCCCTAGTTTATTCAACTCCTGATTTCTGTGACATCTACATCGACAAAGTGAATTCCTGAGGATTGAGAAATTGTTGCCTTAGTTGTTTTTATATTCACAGATTTTAGCACAACACATGCAGTAAATTGCTTGATACATATTTGCTGAATAGAATTAAATGAGACTGCCCTTTAACCTAGCATTCAACACTCTCCCATACACAAGCATCCCCATGTTTTCCAAAACTTTTCAATTCCTGTTTTTCTTCACTTCCTCAGTGTCTCTGTCAAGCAGGGCTTTTGCTGTGCTCTTCATTCCTCTACATTTGACTTATTTCATCCTGAAAAAACACCATCCCAGTATAATGCCACTTGATCTGTGGACTCTTTGCTGACCCAACTCACTCCCCACCTCACCAGTCGGGAATAGTATTCCCCACCTTTCAACATTCAGATGATTTTTTTCTGTAACTCAGTTATGAACCTTTTATGTTCTACCAAACATTGCAGTTATTTATGTTGACATTTTAGTCCTGCTACTAGACTTTATATTTCTTGGAGGTGATATTTTATCTCTCACAGTGTTTAACACACAGAGTAGACACTAAGTAAATAAATACTTCTTTAAAGAATCAAAAAGTCTTTGTAAGCTATGGACTATTATTTCTCTCTTCTTAGTACCAAAATTCTTTGCAAAAGATTAATATTTGGTGACCAATGATGTTTTGAGTTTCATCACTGTAATTTCGATTTTCATTTATACTTCACTAATTTCTATTTCATCTTTCCATCCTCATAACCATATATGTTACAACTGAATTAATGAAACCTTGTAAACTCTTTTTTCAGTAAATGTTTTAATTCTAAACAGAAATTGTAATGTATAACACTTAGGTCATTAGAAATTCCCTTGGCATGGAGTATTATAATAACAAAGGCATTGAAATAGGGTTATTCTCTTTTAAACTTTATTTGAATGATATTTCATGAGAATAGATCTAGAATATGTGACATATACCACCAAAATGGAAAGTCACATCATAACATTTTATTTTAAAATACTTCATTCTTAAAATGTTTTTCTCTAATAATGTATAATTTATAGATCATTTATAGAATAATTTATAGAATATTAGTGTCTAACAGAAGCTCTTGTTTAGTCCACTGATGACTACTTTCCTCATTCCGACCTTCCTATGCTAGATATTTAAATTTTGTTTGCTTTCTTTAGAGGGAACACTTAAACATTTAGCTTATCTAAGGTGCAATGACCTGAATAATAGAAGCAGAGAAAACTGCTAATTTATAAATTTTAAATGGATAAACCTTGTAAATGGATTATGGAAATTTAAACATAACAAATCAGCTGTAATCATGTAGTTAATGAACTTCCACAATTTAACTGTGAACTTTTCAAATGTTGGGTTATGTTTATATTCAATGTCAAGTACATACAAGTCAAGGGTACATAAGAAACCATTTAAAGACTTTCATAATTTTTGGAGGCTTCTAAGATTTCCTCTGAATTTATAAAATT